GCTCACCTCCCCCTGTCTGCCATCAACCTTCTCCTCCCCAGCTCTGCTCATAGCAGCCAGCAGCAGCCAACCAATCAACCCCCCCACCACCCCTGCATCACCGTACACACACTCACACACACACACACATGCGCGCATGAACACAGAGAGACACATGCCCGCCACTCACACCGCTGGCATTAAATTTTCAGGCTGGATGCTACAGGGGCCGTTCCTAATTACCGCCTGTCCCCTACAGATCCATGAATAATGGCTATTGAAGGAGCGCCAGAAGGTTGCTGAAAAGAGAAGAGAAGAGAAGGAAGGAATTGTGCTATATACCTATTATTTTTTTCCTCTCTCTCTCTCCCCCCATGCTTCCTTCCTCTTCCAAAGGATCTAATCTGTGGCCACGCTACGCGCTGAAGAACGGAAAGGGGGAAAAAATAATAAAAGAACGAGGAAGTGCAAAAAAAGGCGGACGGAGAGAGACCGAGGGATTGAAGACCACAAGGGGGAAAAGCTTGCAGGTAATGTGGAATTCTTTCTTCCTTTTTTTCCGGATGCTCTGATGTTTTGTCGGGGATGCTGAGGCTGCAGAAGGAGCGCTGGCCGTTGGTTCCTTCCTTCGGTTCATTCAGCTTCTCCGAGACTGCCTTTCCCACCTCCTCCCCCTCCCTCCTCCCTGGTTTTCTGTTCCAGCCTACGCCATTTGCCACTCTAGTGCGCTGGGGTGTGTGTGCGTGGGGGGGGGTTTGCTTTGAAACAGGAGAGTGTGGAGCTGTAGTACAGCCGTTCTCCTTGTTCCGACCGGTTTGTATTTGGAGAGGGTTTCTGGATTGTACGGTTCTAAAGGAGACGTCCTTCTTCCATCGAGTGGGTCGGTTGCGTCTTGACGGGCATCTCTGTTGCAGAAGTTTCTTGGCGCAGGTGCCCTGATGTTTGGGAGGGGAATGGGGTGCGCCTTCGTCGCCGTAAAAATTCCTCAGTGCTTCTGAAGTTCAAAGAAGGCTCTGTTGGCGAAGGGGCTCAAGCCCACCCATCTGTCATGTTGTGAGAAAACACCTCTCCAGACTGTAAAAATTAAGGGGAAAAAAGTTGGAAGAGTGGAATATATACTAGATATACTTTCTATGGCAAATGCTTAGGTCCAATCAATCTTTTCTCACGCATTCCGTAGGCAGAAAGAACCTGTGTCTTCTCTTCCTCTGATGGCGAGTAAACAGGCGTCTTGGCTAGGGACAGTATTGTCCAGCCAACGATGCAGTGGGCAATGTCCTCCCCCCTCCCCAAAGGTGTGAAGCTCCCAAATGCATCACAGGTTGGACCAGCCACACACAAGCGGTTGTGTGTGTGTGTGTGTCACTCTCTTCAGAAATCTCCCTGAGGTGCTTGTGCATCTCAGATGAACACCTTCTCTTCTGCGCCCACCCCACCCTGATGTGGACCACCCGTAGACCCCATGGCCCTCTTGATAAATAAATTGGGGGGGGATCTGATTGTTTTTGTGGAAGCCATTTGCTAGCTTACGAACAAGCATTGCTCTGCCCTGTTGTCACTGTTGCGGTGGTCACAGCGGAAAACATAGGTTGTTGTGTTGTAGCATTGTGGTGCAAAGGAACCAGGGACGTCCAGGTGGTCTCTGAAGGTTTCCTGCTGGTAAAAAAAACTGTAACTTTGGAAACTCTGTGTGTGTGTGTGTGTGTGTGTGTGTGTGTGTGAGAGAGAGAGAGAGAGAGAGTGAGTGACAGGTGTGCCACGATCCAGATGCTGTGTCTCCAGAGCAGTCCGGTTACAACCCACTAAGACAGGGGAGTTGTGTCTTGCAGCAGCGTGACGGTGAGGAAACGTCCGGGCACGCTGGGGACGTGGGATGCCACTAGAATTCTTAATGCCCGTCTTGAATCGTCCAAACAAACCCACTTGGCCTTTTTTATTCTTAGGAAGAGGCAAGTAGGGAGAATGTTCGGGGCAGGAGGGGAAGTGGCCTGGCACAAGATGTAGGATGGTGCTGGAGAAAAAGTGAAAGTGTGTGTGTGTGTTGCAGAAACCGTGGTAAAAAGGGTTGCCAACAACGAGGAAGAAGGAAGTCGATGTGGGGCAGGGAGGGGGAAGTGTGGTGGAGTGGGCGGAGAGCTGTTCATAGGCCAGGTATACCCTTCCAAAGTGGGGGGAGGATACAGTTGTTCTCAGCCCCCTCCCTCTAATCTCTGGTCCCGGATTGTGTGCTGCTTGTCTTAGGGGGTCCCTCATTTCTGACAGGGGTGAAGCGTGTGAGATCCCTTGCCCCCATCGCTGGTGCAAACCCCACATTAATTCTCGATGTTCCCTTTGCAAGAGGATCCCACCTACCTCCCAGGTTTCGCCTTTGTCTGAATCTCAGAAGGACTCTTTCCTGTTTCCGGACTCGGAGATTTGAAATGGGGCACCTGAATGGAACGGGGGAGCACCTGGTTTTTCAAACCCCTGCCAGGCCACACACTTCACTGGATGCCCTGAACAGCGTGCAATTGTTTCGCTTTGTCTCCTTTTCAGGGTGGTTGTGCGTGCAAGCTAGGATAAGCGCTACCCACCTACTTGCACCAGCCTTTGGGTGAATCTCCTCGGGAGAACGAGTAGGGCTGGCATGCCTGTTCGTGAGAAAGGCGATGCTCATTGTAACCGTATTCGATGGGGAGGCAGTACTCATAGGAGTACTTTTGTGTCTGAGTAATGGAGGTATTGGGTTATCCCTCTTCTAGCCTCACAATGACCTCATAAGGCTGGTTAGGCTTAAAGAACGAGAATTAGACAGGCCCAAAGTTTTTTGCTGGAACTTCAAAACGGAACAGAAACTTGAACTTAAGAGCAACCCTCTGCTTTGCTGTGGACGATGCACTGGCTATGGTTATTTTGATGGAATGAACAAGCTGCTGAGTTTTTTACATATCTTGGGGTTAATTATTATTTTTTAAATTAAGTAACAGTTTATTTTCTGGTGGTTGTACAGTGGTGCCTTGCTTAGCGACGTTAATTCGTTCCGCAAAAATCTCTACAGAAGAAAAACGTCGATATGCGATATTAAAAAGCCCATAGAAATGCATTGACCCCCCTTCAATGTGTTCCTATGGGCTTAAAACTCACTGTTGAGCAAAGATCCTCCATAGTGCCGCCATTTTCGGTGCCTCTAAAGTGAGGAATCCGTCCCTAAACACAGCGGGTGGCCATGTTTTTCCCCAGCGGCCATTTTGAAACCGCCAATCAGCTGTGCGAAAATGGGGGCTTTGCGATCGCTTCCCTGCGATCATCGCAAAGCGAAAATACCCCATAGAGAACATCGCAGAAACAACATCGCTAAGCGATTTCGTCGCTAAACGGAGCGATCGCTAAGCGAGGCACCACTGTATTGGTTGCATCCAACTCTTCCTGTGTTTGGGATTAGAACTGCTGAACAACTGGGTTGAGGTCTCTGGCTGTGGAGCCAGAGGTTGGGAGTTCGATTCCCCCACTGTGTACCTTCTTGACAAGGGCTGGACCCTTTGATGCAGAGGGTCCCTTGCAGCTCTGCAGTTCTAAGGTTATTATTGCATCTCATCCTCCAAATGTTGTAAAGTGCATGCACGCACACAAACACACCCCTCAATAGGAATGAATTTTTGCGACTCTTCCTTCCTTTCCGCTGGCCTCGATCTAAATGGCATTCCCAACTAGAACAGCTCAGTTGAATCAGTTCCCAAGCTCACTTCAGTAAATTCCATTTTTTTTCTTCTTTGTGGGTCTGCTCTGGATGAGTTCAAACGGGCACATTTCCTTTAGCTACCCTTGTGTTCAGTCATGATCTTCGCCTGCTGTCGGGTTTACCTCTTTAGAATGAAAGGCAGGTGATCTGTTGCTTTGGCCCCAATGCCTGTTGAGTAAAGTCTTGTTGACAAGGGTCTGTGGCCGGGCTAGGCTTTCTTCTTTTAAGGACATGATTTGTTGTGGTGTTTGATTGAGAAGAAAAAGACCGGGATGGTGGAAAGGAAGGGCGGAGAGGAGGCTGGAGGGGGGGGGCAGGGAGTCGATTTAAATTGGGCTTAATGGATTCCCAGGAGAACTCTTCAAGATCAAAGTCAAAAATAAGACCGAATCTCGACAGAATCTCTTGCATTAAAGATGCAGGCTTCCTCGGCTAACCTTTTCCTCTCCTCCTTCCTTTTCTTCTTCTTCTTTTTCCGAGGCAGAGGGGAAAACAGAAAGAGAGAGAGAGAGAGAGAGAGAGTTGTACGTTCTGCTCAGAGCCGACACAATTGGAGTTTTCTCGTCTTATAACGAGGGCCCTAATTGACGAACTTAAGCCTCGCGGGATGCTTCTTTCCCTGACGTTTGCTTTGCCGTTCCGACTCTCTGGCTTTGCGGTGCGGCATTTTTGGATCGCAGGGAGGGAGGGGGGCGGGATACGTGAGACTGGGAGGCAAGCAGGTTTATAAATGTCCTTTTTGGTGCGGGGGATCTGTTTCCCCCCCACACGCATGGCCCAACAGTGCCTGCAGAAGATGTTTTGGAAAAAACCTACATGTGCTTCGGTGGGTGGCTTGCATTTTGACATCACAACATGACAGGCGGTTTTGTTTTGTTTTTTTGCACCCAAAAGACTACAACTGGTTCCAGCTTTCTGGATTTAACAGCGGCCAGCCGGTGACTTCTAGAAAGCCACCAAGGAGCGCCGAGTAGAGACCGGGGGTGTGTGTGGTTCTCAGGGGTTCTCCTGGCTGCCTCTCCAAGATAGAGTGGGCCTGAAACATGAAGCTCTTTTCTTTATGCTCAAAGTTGATTGCTGCCCACTGGGAATGGCCCACTTCAGAGGACAGGACAGACCAAGTGTAGCCTTCTAGGTGCTGTTCTGTGGACTCCGGTTCCCATCATTCTTCACCATTTGCTGTGTTTCCTCGGTCTAGTGGAAGTAGCGCTTTTAAAACAGAGGTGGTTGACCTGTAAGGTCACCATAGGGCGCGGAGGCGCCTTTCTCTCATGCTGCCCTCCACCTAGTATTTCACCTCCTTACTGGAGGTGAAGGGGCCAGATCCTGCTTGCGAAGGTGCAAATAGTTGCCTGCCTGCTGGTGTGCATGTGTGAACGTCCACTTATGCCTCCGGTTCTGTCTGTCACCCCTGGCTTGGTCTGTCTAAGCCAGGGGCTCCCCACCTTGGGTCTCCAGATGTTCTTGGACTACAACTCCCAGAGATCCTGGCCAGCCCATCTCATGGTGAAGGCCTTTCTGGGCGTTTTATTCCGAGAACATCTGGGGACCCAAGGTTGGGAGCCACTGGTCAAAGCGGTGTCATTTGGCCCCTTAGCTATGAGGTGACACCACCCGTCAGGATCAAGAGCATCTGGAGACCAGCATTTTGTCCATCTCCGCCTCCGGGCAAAGAACCACCGGTTCTAGACTCGGAATGGAGTCTAAGTGCAGCAAAAGGGGGCTGCTTTGATGGCATCGAAGTTAGTGATTCAATTTTAGGTGTCCATACGGTTTTTAAAAAAACACCGGTGGACTCCCGGGAGGGCCTTT